CTATGAACTCCGCCTCAGGTTGCAGTTGATCCTGCTGCTGCTGCTCTCCTGCTGCTGCCAGCAACGCAACAGCGCGTCCCGCAGATATTCCATAACGAGGGAACAACCCGAGCCACTCGTGGAGCTTCTGGAGTCGCTCTATCTGCTGAGCATGCTGCTGCTGCACGCCCTCACCATTATTTGTACACGCTGCTGCTGTTGAACTGGCTGAATTGCTGTTCCCGTTTGTAAAGAGAGCAGTATCTGGGTCCCCGACGGCTGCCGCAGCTGCTGCCGCGTCCGCTGCATCCATGGAATCCACAATTGACGCAAGCAGCACGAGCTGCTGCATTGTTACGCCTCTACTCAGATGTTTTAACTGTTGCAGGAGTTGCTCTAGCGCATCCTGTTGCCGTCTCTGCTGCTTCCATATCAGCGTCAGAGCGTCATCTATCAAAAGCGGGCCCTCAAGGTTCCTCTCTTCAGCCTTCGTTGCGTCCTCTGGACGAGGCGCCGTTGCCGCTGCTGTCCTTTCTATCTCTGTCAATCTTTCTGTCACTCGTTCTGCTGCTGCTGGCTCCGCTTCTTTCATCTTTGCTTCCGTGGTGGCCTGCCCCGTCACCGTGGAGGAAGAGCGCACACAAAGTCTTCTAAGCCTTAAAACAGGCTGCGCGGGATCACGGGGGTTTCTACCAGCGCCAAGAGGATCAGGATCGTTATGCACGCTCTCCTCGTATCCAGGAGGCAGCAGCAGTTGCGCTTTGCAGCACACTGGCTGTTCCTGGAGCCACTGCAGCCACTGACGTGGAAACAAGTCCCGTCTAAGAAACAGCATGACTTGCTCATTACATGATGACGACCCTGCAACAGGTGGCGAGCCTCGAAGCCCTTCGTCGTCGTCGTCTGCTGGAGGAGGGTCCACCCATAACGGGCCTCGATGGTGAAGCGGCTGGTCTCCTGGAAGCCCCAAACGCCTCAAGCCGGCAATACCAATGGGTCCTCCTATGGCGCCAAATGGTACAGATCCTGCGGTGGCGGTTAATCCACCACCACCAGCTGTGGAAGCAACAGCAGCAGCTGGCGGGCGGATGCGGAGCTCGACAGTAGCAACGCGGCAAATTTCACGTAATAACGGGAGCCCAGCGGCAAAAGCCTGTGAATGGTTTGCAGCAGCCAAACTGTCAACCATGGGCCCCTCAGCTGGCAACCACGGGACCCTCTTGACACTCTCCCCTGCTGCTGCTGCTGCATCCAGCGGCAGCAGAACTTCTGCAGCTGCAGCAGCGACAGCGGCGGCTTCGGATCCATTAGCAGCAGCCGTAGCTGCTACGGCAGCTGCAGCAGCAGCGGCGGCTGCCTCCTCTGGAGTGAGGCTGCACTCAGCCTTTGTCTGAGAGGCGGCAAGACACAGAACGTCAAGCGGTGGCCGATGCCTTGTTGCTTCTCCCCATTCCCGTGGGGCCCCGCGAGCACCCCTCCGTTTGCCCTTAGGCAGCTGGCGTCCCGCTGACTGCAGCGCTGCCCGAAGCAAAGCTCGGCATGGATGCGACCACAGCCCTGTCACGTTAGCTGTAGCTCCTGCTGCTGCAGCTGCTGCCGCGGCCGCTGCAGCTGCTGCTGTTGCATTGGGTCCATCTCCTGAATCTGCGCCCTTAAAGCCTTCTTCATCCTCTACATCCCCTTCATCCCCATGAGGCGCATCAGGCTCGCGCTGCTGCTGTGGCTGCTGCCCTGAGTCATCAGAGGGACTCCCAGACCGCGGTGCTGCTGAATACCCCACTGAGGAGACGGTTGCTACTGCCGTCGCTGCTGCCTCTCGCTGGAGCGCTGCTACATCAGCATCGACAGCCTCTAAGGCAAGCCGCAACCGCTGCTCAATTCTGCCCAAAGTCTCTATGGCCGACGGCCGTCCGCCGGAATGTTCATGCTGCTGTGGTAGCTGCTGCACCTGCCGATGCAAACTGCGCAGCAACTCGCCTACTGTTTCCGCCTCCGCAACTACCGCAGCTTCCTCGGGGCCACCTGGACCCCCCGCAGCGCAAAGCGCTACCTCTTCCTCTGCTGTCCGGGGAGGCAAACAACTAACAGACTCGGGAGAACACGAGTATGGCATCCCTATGTTTCCTTCATGGTTCGCTCCTGCTGTAGATTTTGCATCAGCTGGTTCTGCCGCATCTTCTGGCGCAGTTCCTGCAAAGCATTCTACTTCGGCGGGCTGTTGCGTTGTTGACTCTGCTTCCCTTGAAAAACATTTATTTGGATCCACTGATGAGAGTTTGTCACTTTCTGTGGTGGCCGAAACCTCTGATCTCAGATTCGGCGGTGCCGAGGGACTCTGCAGACGACATGACAACTCTTCCGCTAAGGGAGAGCCCTTGTTAGTTTCTGTATCCGCCAAGACTTCCTCACGTGCCCGCGTGAATGCAGAATTTAGTTCCATCGATGCCGTAGCTGTAGCTGCTGGTAGGAAAGCTAGTGGTGCACTCTCTTTACTAGTCTCCGCGACCGATGGAAGATTCGCCTCAGGAGTTGCTGCGAGGGCCAGAGTTGTTGCGGGGGCTACAGCTGATGCTGCTGCTTGCGAGTCTAGTTCCTGTGCTGCTGAGCCATTAGCCACTGTAGCCGCTGAAAGAGTAAAAGGCTCCAAGAGCTGAGGCCCGCTAGACACTTGGACAGATCCTTCAAGTTCCAAATGCTGACTCTTTTCTTCCACATTCAGTTGCTGCTGCTCATGCACCTCTATCCGCTGCCCCTGCATCTCTGTATTCTTTTTTTCCCCATTTTCAGTCCGCTGCTGTTCCATATGATGCGTGGCCTCTTTGTGAGGAACACAGGACTTGCCCGTCACCCGTGGCTGCTCGGGAGCATCCTCCAGATTGTGTTCACAGAAAGGGGGCAAAACACGCTGTTGCTGCAGTTGAGGCTGCTGCTGCTGCGACTCCAAAAGATCCTCCCTCTCAGCACCGCCACCACCATGAGCTGCGGCATGCTCACTCTCTATCTGCTTCTTCTGCTGGCGTTCCTGTTGCTGCTGCTGTGCCATACGTTGCTGCTGCTGCAGCTTATGTAGAGCAGCAAGCCCCAGCCCTAAGTTGCGCGACCGGGCGTTAGGATCATCTTCAGCCACTGTTGAGCCCACGATATCTCTACTGCCCCCTCTTACTGATGTCCCTGTGCACTGCAACAGTTCAGAAATTGAACTACCAGTGTCAGCACCCATCCGGCCCAAAGCCACATCGCTAGTCGAGGAAGGCAACACGTGAAGCGCCGTCAGAGACGGCAACAGCATGTCCACAGTGTCATCCTCCTCCAATGCAGACTGCATACGGCGAAGTAGATCATCTCCTTCTGCTGAAACGGAAGCTCCCCCAGGGGAAACTGCTGCAAGAGGGCCCCCTCCCGCACTGTGAGCAGGAGAAGTAGTGTGAGCGGGCTCCCCCGTAACTTTCGGAGGGCTCCGGTAATCTGTTTTAGCAGATGTTTCGTCGCTCACTGATGGCATCAGGGCCATGAAGCAGCACTGGCGGTGCAAGGCAGCCAGAAGAGAGAGGGGCCCTTAAGGCCCCGCCAATGTTACCGCGCATAGGGGGGCCCTCAGCCCCTTGGAATTCTACTCAAAGTGTATTGAGTGAAAGCAGCTAGGAGAGGGCTTACAATGCTTTTTCACGCCGAAGACAACGCAACGCTTCTGCCTCCCCCATGCAGCGCAAGCATGCAGTGTCCTCACCAGATAGCCTTGGAAAGCCGTGCCATGATTTCGCTGTTGCACAGGTGCTACCAAACGCAGAAGTTGCGCAAAAAGTAACAAAAAGATGTTCTGCGTGTTTTGCACGTGATCGACAGCAGCCCCGTTGACGCCTTGGGACTAAAGCCTAGAGTATCCCAGCGAGCCAAGTGAAATAATAGGCATACAGATACGTCACTTTGAAAAGAAGCTGAGTCCTTTGTTCCGTTTCCAGCAACTAGAGACGAGACTCACGACCTGTACCCTGTAGCCAGTCACAGGGCTTCTCGCATGCAATTACCTGATGGTGGCTTCCAAAGAAAATCTCTGTACACAGTTCTAATCATGGGACGAGAAATGAAGGATGTGGAAGAAGTTTTGTGTGTAATGAAATCCACGGCTCCGTTTACTCCCTTCGCGCTATTGTCTAGCATCCCTTCCACCCTTTGCAGTGTACTGTTCCTAGCTGAACTTTTCACGCGTGCAGTCCAGAAGATTTAAGTCGTAGAGAACTAAAAGCCGGCTACACCAACGGCCATGCTTTTCCCTGTAAATTCTTTAGAGACCGAATTCAATGCTGTTGGGCTTTCGCCGGGCTCCAGAGTACATGTGAAGCCACCCTCCATCGGAATGGTGGGGCAACCCACAGCGTCTGCACAAAGCTCCGCACTTCATTGCTACTTTTATTGGGCTCAATGGAGAGAACTCTTTTGGGAAATCTGTGGAAAGTACGTGTCCTATGGCGTTGACGGAGACTTACTGCTTGCTCCCTGTAGAGCTTATTTTGGAGTTGTCTTACGGTGGCACGCGGGCCGTTTACAGCATAGCACGTGAACTTCTACATGACAATTCGCTGTAAAAGGATGGCTACTATCTCCACCTGTGGGTGGCAGCGAGTGTCAATGAGCTGAATCGGTGCGATCGGCAACGAGGGGCACCGCCAACTCACGAATCGATCGGCCCAAATTACCCCTAAATCTAGTGGATTCTCAACGCCACACTGGTTAAACAAAATTGTTTATAAGGAGCACTGTAGTTTGACGAGCGGTGCACTAAATGCCCGGAATTCGGAGAAAATCATAGGGATGAAAAAAAGAATAAGTAACTACGGGAACGATGTAACGTTGCTGCACAATTCTCAAGCACCTTCCGATATTACGGAACACTGCCAAAGAAGCGGCGTTCTGCAAACTGGCGCTGCAACTGCGGAAGTCATACTCACGTGCAGGCGAATCACCAGCCTTTCTTTTGCAGCAGCAGTTTTTATTGTGTACTTTTGCGTATGGAGGGACCCAAGCTAAGCGATAGGTCTTCCATTTATTTTTGCGTCTCCCTCCTCCTCTACCGCTGTTTCGTCGACTAAGGCAGCCTGATGCGCAGTGAAGAACTTCCATTCGGAGGATGCCTGGTTGAGGGCACACCTGCACCGGTGCATGACAGGAACAGCACAAGCAGACGTAATGCGTAGGCTACCGTCGGCATAGGTTTGTACGGATAGAGGGCTGAAAGTGAGGTCAAACAGACCTAGGGAGAAACAACGAAGTGCCATAGGCAAATTGCAGTAACGTGACTTACTGAGTTTTCAAATCTCTCATGCGTGTTCTACACTCCACGAGTTTGTCGACAGTCTGCAGCGCATTCGAGCAGACTCAACAGCTGAACATGTTCTTCCTTGGTGGCCTCGTGAACACATGTCACTCCCCTTCAGATGTAGACTCTTATGACGCTAAAAATACGTGGTTGTTCGTGTCTTGTACAGCAGCTACCGAACCATTGGCGGGAGCGCTCAGCTTCAATGAACGCGGCTTGCCTGCTGATGTACTTCCTTTAGTTCGGAAAAGTCTAGTTCAAGCAAGGCATGCGTGTTCTTCAGCTTCATGTACTCCCCAGCGGGCACCAATTTTTCCACAGAGCGTAGCACGCACACGTCAGGCACCAGACTCAGCTGAGGGCCGCCTTCTAGACCTGTTGCCGCACAATAAAGGAAGTCACTGCTTAGCTCCTTACATCTGTTGGTCTCTTAATGACCTGTTCATGAAAATGAAGGCCATGTATACCCCTGTTTGAAGAACTGGCGAGATCGACTAGCCGAGCTGCACATCGCGGCATTTGTGAGAGGCTTTCTCTTTGCTCTTGCACATGGCTGTTTTGCTTTTAGGGCAGTAAATATGCGAGCTTCTTTGTGCTGATTACTTCAACTGCTTCCGGCTAGGCAAAGTGCGCACATATGCATTTATTTTCGCACGGCACGCCATAATTTCACCTACTTCGTGCTGCCCTAGCAAAGTGGCATATATCGAAGTCTCTAATATTTTTAGACTGACCTCCAAACGGGTAGATTTGCTCTCGCAGAGGAATGGGTGCAAAACGGTCTCCTGCATCTCTCCAGAAGGGAACTTCTCGATTGTCCTCGTCTGTCGGCTGGTAAGGCTCAACATCACCAAACAGCCATCCAAATCGTTCTAGAGTCTACACACATACAGGCATACGCTCCGCCTAAACAGCGCATCATGATGTATTTGGGGCAAACCACACAAAAAGCGTGAATGATGATGCAAATTTTGCTTTTGGAGTACACAACTTTGCAACTACATTCCTCAGACGACAAAAAAATCGAAACATTCAAATTCCCAGCCGCATGAAGCCTGTCTTTTTCCCATAATTCTCAGAATGTTTTGTGTACAAGGTTGGCACGATGCTTTTGCAATGCTCTTGTGAAAGAATAGCCTTGAGCAGTCACCAGCATTATCGTCGGCAAAGCCTCAGATAGCAGAAAAGAAGTCAGTGATGCTCCTTCGAAAGCGTGACAACACTTATTCCTTTAACATCGAGCTTATAAAAGACAGTAGGAGAGTCTATAGAATGACGCCACATGCGGTTCCCTACTGTCAACGCTTACCACCTTCAGGAAGAAGTAGATGTCCCCGTAAGACGAATTTGTGGTGCACGCTTTCAGCTGCTCGCCTAGAAGGAATGCGCGGTGGGATATGTAGCTCGATCGAGCTGCAGCCTCGGCCACCCGGATGGCACGTTGTAGCTCTTCGATTCTGAAGGAAAATCGTATCACCCGGACACTCGACATTCACAATACTGACATAATTTTCACCGCTGATGCAGTGTCCTCTAGCTTCAGGCGATTCCCTGCTTTGTCCAGGTCATCGAGTCAAGCCACAAAAGAGAATATCTAAACAGCGTCAGATACTGTAAATGCAATTGCTGACTTGTTGAGCTCATCCTCTTCCTGCTGCGCAGTCCATTTGTATCCTTGTTCATAAAACCGGATCTGAGGAAATGAGAAAGCGTAGGAAAAATTGCTTCTTTCAATGGGAGACCATTTAGCACCATCCGCAGCGGCCAGTCTGCATTTTCATGAAGAGTTACAGGGGACATGACTTCCCGTAAATCAACATGCAGTGGCTAACCGAGAGGATCGGCAGAAATGCATACGCCAGTGGAGCTGACCTTGCGCTCGCTGCAAGTCAGCCACTTCCGCAATAGATCGAAAATGTCTCCTCTTTCGGCTATTTGACGAATAAGAACAACCTGGACCAAAGAAGTCAACGATAGTTCCACAAAGAGCATGAAATGTTTTGCAAGTAAATAGCACTGTGCAACCAGCCTTAGTAAAATTGAAACTTGGAAATTGGCGCAGCCTTTAAACCGTGCCTTAGAATCGTCAAGATGAGCGGTAGAAACTGTCGTTCTTAAGTAATTCATCACAACCACGTTCGCCGTTCGTTTGGGTTCAGCACATTGGCAAAGCTCGATGACTTTGGCGATGCACAGATATCTGCACAGTGAAAAATATCCCACCTTTTCTTTGAACTTTTCTTCAAGTTGGTGGAAGTTTTGCGTCAAAGAGGCGTTCTCCTCCCTGAAAAAAAGAGTCCCTAGAGAACCATTTGTATGCAGTTGTCTTTGTACATGCAGCAGCCGCGGCATTGTCTTTTCAGCCAGCATGAATAGACAGCGTACGTGCAATCAAACTGTAGTGACTTCTGTGGACTGTAAGTAGACTGCACAGCAGTGTGCAGTGGGCAGGAGTCACAGCCTACTCCCCCCTACGCCAGCTCTACTTGGCAGCTAGCGGCAAGTGGTCACACCCAGTATGGGCTGTCTTACCGAAGACGTTTGTTCTCGATTGTCGTCTTTTGGTTTGCTGCTCGAAGACGAGACATCAGCAGAGCGAAACGAGAGGGGTTGTCTCTGGCATCTTCAAGGTCTTTCAAAAAGTCCGCCACTTTGCAGTTTAGCTGACTATTTTCTGCCGCAAGGCTTTGAGCCTTTTGCTGAGAAGAACTCAGCACTTCTCGTAGCCGCACGATTTCCTCCTCCAGACGCTTGCTTCCTGCGGGCACACACAATAAACGAATCCTTCAACACATAAGCTGCAAAGTTCTGTGGTCTCATACGTTGCATATATTCTCACTCCTTCGCGCACATATTGGTATATCCGTGAGCTGCGTTACGCGTCCACAAGCACTTAAGTATGTGTGACGCTGCGCACACACTTTTACGCAAGCGTGTGAAGCATGTGCGCCAAGTGCACTCTTGATGTATACGCGGAATGGCTTTTGCGTCGCTTTAATCGTGCACTGCAGTGAACGTGACGAATGCCAAAAGGGATATTTTGAAGAAAGGGAGCATTTGAACACACATATTACCTGCGAGTTGAGTTGCAAGTTCATTCTGAAGGAATGACACCTCGTGGTGCTTTTGGTCAACATATTCGGCGGCCGCCTTTTCAGTGACTTCCCCAGACGCCTGCAGTCTTTGGTTCCTCTGCTGAAGCCGTTCAATTTCCAACTGAGGCGCATCAAGAGCGCACCAGCAATGCTTGCAGTTGTAGTCGTTGTAGCTGAAGCGCTAAGCGTAAGAAGTTATACTTCTTAACTTCCTTTGGCTTAATCATAGGCGCATGTTTACATGGGGAGAGGAGAAAGCATTCCCAATGTTGCGGGTGGTATTTTCGACCTCACTAGGAGAGTCCTCTTGGACCCTTCGGTTTCCATCAAAGCCAGTTCATGCTGCTTTGAGATCAATGCTGTAGCTTCTCTTTCTCGGATCGCAGCAGCCCTTTCTCGTTGTAAGAGGGCCTGTAGCTCTCTTATTTGCAGTTGCATTGCTGCGGCACTGCAGCAGTCCAGTTTCTCCTTCCACCCTGCAGCAGCTCTAGGCGTGTCAACCAACATCACCAGCGGCTTGACGAACTTGCCATATACTCCGTCATGACGAGAGGTCCCCACGATAACGACGCCCTCCATTGGGCTATCGCCTTCGGAGTCCGTCGCCGGCAGTGTTGGGATAACCTGGGCGTCACAAAGGAGATAGACCCAAGCTTTAAACCATATATATAAAGGGCGGTATTCAAGATTGTGCTTGAACATGTGAACTGGAGAAATGAAGCTGCGTATGGCATTCAATTGAAGGTTCGCGCACCCACCCCCATAGCAACGGCTCGTTTAGGAGGGAAGGTCTTGAAAGAGAAGTCTTCAAGCATATATGCCCCCTCAAACGCTGCCTCAGCGTGGGAAGTATAGAGCAGAAGGTTGCCCCTGATTTCGCAGTAGCGCTTCAGCCATTGTTGCTCGCGGCCATTCAAAGAACGGGAATCGCGCTCAACTGCACGGGACTGGCGTGGGTCCAACAGCAACATGGCCGTTCCAGCTCGAACTGGAGGTGTATCTACTTGCCTTCCAAATACAATGAAGGCCTGGTTGTCAAGCCAAAACCCATCAGCTTCATCTTCCCGCTTTGCCCGTGCCATGGCCCCCAACACGTTGGTGCCGTCGCCAGCTCTTGTCATCCTGACGACTCCATCGATGAAACAAAAAATGAGAAGGATGAAGTTTAATTAGAAGGAACTTTGTACAGAGAGTCGAATCGAGAAGACGCGCTAAGCTCAGGAAGACGTCTGGAGACACCGTGGTCCTCCGACGAACTTCCAATGATGCGCGACGCGTTGGTTCGTGCCAACAGAGGGGAAGGTAAATGAAAAGTTCATTATATTTTGCTACCTTCAGGTATCCTTTCCAATGCATGCACTTCCTCACAATAATTCGCTTCAGCTCTGAGCGGCCGGCCCGATGGCTCAGCACTGAGGCCCCTGCTCAAACCACTGGACGGCTATGGCGCCATACCAATGGGATGTCCCGAACATCACCAGCCTTAAAGCAAAATGCAACACTGAAATATCCATCTTCAAAGTATTTAAAAGGACTAATCTACGCAATACAGCCGCAGGCGGAGCAGTTTAATGCACAACGTGCAGCCGACTTTCAGCCAAACAGCTCATGCAACAGTTGTAATAAACCAATGAATTCTGGTCATCGACCGGGCACTGACGAGCGCCCCTAAGTCGGCTTCTCCAGCTCCCCGCTATCTGTTCACCCCATGCACTTTGTAACTGCTTCGAACGCCAATGCCACTGCTGAGGACCAGCATATATGCACCCACTGGTCCACCGGTACTCGGCAGTGGCTGGACGCAACTCTTAAAGAAGAAGCACCGTCCCTCGGCTATGTACAGCTGAGTACACTACAAAGAAAAAACTGGAGCGTGGGCCTCCAGAGCTACCGCGCCTTCTAACCAGCTAAAAGCGGCAGCAGAAGCTGTAGGCCTGTTGCATGCACGTACTGGGCCCTACGGGCCATCAGACTACCTTAAACGGCCACCTTATCAACTCGTAGACTGGCCTTGGTGAGCTTGAAACGCTTATGCTTTTCCCACTCCTCATCTCTCACTACTCTATTCCGCGGTCTGTTACGTAAATAAGAACTCTCATGGAGCCTTTCAGTGTCTAAAAACTGTTTAGTTTGGTGCACATGCCCAGCATTGCCTGTGTCCCAAACCTTGGTATTTCAAAGCTATGATTTCCGTTTCCAACCCCAAGAAAACAATTCAGCCAGATCGACCCAACCGCTCAAGCTTTGCAACAGCTATCCCTTGTTGCATTCCATCGTGTTTTCCCTAAAGTCCCTTGAGGTCCACTGCGACCCGCCTGGAAGCTGCGTTGCGCTAATAGGACCCTTCTGAGTTGCCATTCTAGAAGCATGTGTATGCCTTCATATGGAAGCGTATATTGCCATATTTACGCTCGCACAGCCAAGCAATGTGGCGTACATCGCTTGTGCCATGCATATTGCCCTGAAGCCAGCGGGCGCCCCTCCGGCTTCAGCCACCCCAACCGGAGTTTCCCCAGTTGATTTTTGCATTTGAAAAGTCCAGTTCCGGGTGCGACTGTTTGAACTTCTCCAGCATCTCTGCCTGACGCTGCTGGTCGCTTGTCGGCAAACCCCGCTGCTTTTGTTGCTGATCGTACATCATCTTCTCTACAGTCGCCCGCGTCTCTGGGTCTAAATCGGAGAGCTTGGAGTTCTGCAAGTGATTTTCAACACATGGCCACACAAACGCCCTTACATGCATCGCCACGTAGAGGAATTCCCACCAATTCGTTCTTTGTCGCTTCACTACACAAGCTGCCACTGCACCAATATATACGCATATGGAGAATAGTTGCCTTTGTAAATGCGTGCACGTGGCATTGTGCCTTCTCCGTGACTATCCGACGGGTCTACCAGTAGAAGCATACTACGACATATCGCCTTGCACCTGTATGGGTGAGGTTGCCAAAACAAACCCGTGAAGTGACCTCGACGGAAGTTAAATGTTGTGTATGCACATTTTGCACATAATGCAGGTGCGAACGTTTGTAAACAGCAGAAAACAAATGGAACCTGGTGCTGCTGCGTGTGGATATCCGTACACTGTCACACACAAGCAGGCTATCAGTCACGTAGAAAAGCACGGCCTACCTCAGGGACAATTGTCTTTGTGTCGATCTCTGGGTCCCCCTTCAAGACACAGCTCCACCAGCGCATTCTGTCGACTTTCTCAAGACTAAGATGCACCGTGTTCTGATCCTCCAACGTCCACATGCAGTCGTCGGCATGCACTTTCTGTGAAAACTCCCCGTCTGGCATTAGCAGACGTAGAGAAACACACTCTCACAAAGTTAAAAGTGGATGAAACAAGAAACATTATCACCAACTCTCAGCCAGCAACCTATGAAACAGCATTCGCTACCTTTCACTAAGTAAATGCAGTCACGGTGCAGTACAAATGAAAACAGGGGCTGTTTGTCTGCCCTGCCCGCCCGAACGAAATTTGGAGCAAAAACTGATGCGCTCCTGAAAGAAAATACTGCAGCATGAACAGAGCGGGCGGTGACACGCTGTCTTTCTTTCCCCTTACCTAGGATGGGAGGCTGACCCTTCAGTCCCACTGTGAGTCGACTGCCTGTGATCTTCACGCTGCATTGCGCAGCCCTTACACCAGTTCCAATAGGGACGTACACGTCCACAGATTCAAGAGTTTGCGTCCAGCGATACCTGCGGCGAAGACAATCCGCAGATAGCGCCACACAAAGCACGCACAGCACAGCTACGTGTACACTTACGTGCCTAGAGTAACTTCTATAATATTGGGGCTACCTCCCCTACTTTTCGTGCCTCCTCTAGATAAGCAAAAGGCCTGCCAGCTGACACTTTTCCATGTGTATTTACTTCAGCCCACTTGTCCGTCGTGCCTCCGTTACCCTCTGGGCGGCGCGTGCTCTGCTCGTCGTCAGAGCCCGCGGGCTCTTCTTGTTGTGCATTCTGGTCAGTCTTAGCCGGTGAAGAATTTCGCTGAGTCGACTTCTCTGCACCTTTGTCTGCTGGCTGAGAGTAGAGAGCTTCCTCATCTTCCGTTAACTCTTCAATTTTCGGGCGGTTTTCCAGATCCACCGGCTGCTTCCGCTGCTGCTCCTGCTTCTGTTGCTCCTCCTGTCGTCTCTGGTGCAGCTGCTTCTTCTCGCGTTCCAGACGTTCCCTTTCTGCCTTTTCCGTGGCTTTTTCTGTCCATTTCTGAAAGGATTTGTCGAGCATCTCCTTGCACGCAGCGCGACCTACTGTGAAAAAATCGGTTTTACGGCACAAGAACCCAAAGAAGTAGTCAAAAAGAGGCTCAATTCCACCAGCCTGCTCAGCAACGGTCGCAAACAGACCGTCAAAACGGGTATCCATCGATGTCTCGCCCTGCGTCCCCATTGTGTTTGCGGCTGCTGATACCAGACATATAGTGCCTGGCGTCAACACCAGTTTAACAATATTCAGTATGGAATCTACTGACCGATACAGACAGCCGAAAATTGGAAGGGAAACAAAATCAAAGATGGACGCACCGGAATCTACACAACTTTGGTGTACAGCAGCCAGGGCCCGTTGGGGCTGATTTGGGTCTGGGAAACATATCCTTCTCACACACCAGCAAAAGCCAGCAAGCCATCGATGGTTGTTTTTTTCACGCTTGAAAGGATGTGCATTGAATTCTTTGACTACAGGTTTCTTTTGGTGGTTGTTTGATGGCTTGATGTTAACAACTGTGGTATGGCACGAGGCATGCCCTGTGTTCGATCTTTCGTGCACTCTGTAAATGCACGTGTTAATGACTTCCATGTGCTCGGAATACATCTCGGTTGGAAGTATTCACTGCCCTTCAAGCGACAGGGGCTGGCTTTAGCATACGATAGTGGCCGTGAGGTGCGGCATCTCACCAGCAGCACTTAGTTTGCTTCTGTCAGAAAGCGGCCAATTGCAGTCCTGCCTCAGGCCAAGACCCAATGCATAGAAGCGGCTGATGTGCTGCAGGCTGCTTTTTGCAATGCTAGTCCTCAAGTATTGTCTCGCTGTGAACGGTGCTGTCGCATCTAGCGCCTGCATGCCCGGGTGTTCTACGGCATAGCTTGAATATAGTTGCACTGCAGCCGAACAGTTTAGACTAGTAAAACAAACCAATATTTTGGTGTCACACTGCACATAAGTGCTCCACGTTGTTCAGAATACCACTGGCTGGACCACAGGGCGGGCTTCAGAGCCGTTTTCATCAAGGGGTGACGGCAGCCGCTCCTCTCCCTGGCCAAGCGCCGCCAGGGTGGACGGTATTCCACTAGCGATTAGACAGTGTAAGGCTGATGCAACCCAGCGAGACAGTGTAATGAGAATTTCATGCTACGCTTTGCGTTAAGGCTCTACTGCCCTCTTCGAAAATCTCAGTGTAAAACACACGGGAAGAACTTGGGAAAAGTTGGGGCAGGTTCTTCTCTAGTCGATGATGCACTCTAAAAGGTCTCTGTCATGCTGGACAAGTGTGGGTCGCTAGAGCTGTTCACTTGCCGCCACCTGCAGCAGTCCTGTATGATTTCTGGGCTTATTTGGCGTGGTATGTTCCGTCAAGGCGGCTTTGTCTCGGCACAGCCTAGGAACAGTTTCTCCACGAAGTGTCTTGAGTAAACAGAAACACTCGCGAATAAGATGTGCTAGGCCACGTAAAACATTGATAGCGAGTAGGCTGTCGCGCACACCGAACGGTGACCTGAGTCCCGTACCGATAGCCAGTCTTTACTTGAAGGCATGCGCAGTGCTGGTTGCGCTTCGGGCAATTGATGCTGAAGGCTGTTTGTGGCGCATTTTACAAGCCGTCGCCAAAGTGATTCCGCTTTTCTGTGCACTGGAAGAGAAAAAAGGAGAAGTGGGTGACTGTGAGCTGCGGTTCACAACGCTGGAGGCAGCTTTGCTCACTTTGGACTCATGGAACAACCACAGAAAATCGCCACGCCGTGCAAGCAGGTCTCTTGAACACAGCGCAGTTCCTGTTCTACACTTCACACTTTATTGAAGACGCTGTAGTGTCACTCCGCACTGGCTTCCCGTGAGGAAGCTGCGTCCCTCGTACATTTGTAGGACGCCGCCGTCTAGCTGGTATGCATGATTAGCGGTTGAGCGCGGTGGAGAACCTTCGTCTGTGCTTCACAGGCAGCTGAGTGCGTGCGAGCTTTCAAGGAGCTACTAATTGTCTAGAAATCAGCTGCATTGGCAAAATTCAGTGACGCTGTGGGGACGCTGCTGCACCGCCCAGATGCACTTTATCGCTGCCCTTCGCCTACTAATCACACGCCCTGCTAGTGTAGTTGCTAACGACAGACATGCCAAATGGGGGAAGAACTTCCGCAGAGAAGACAATACGCATAGTTTTGGAAAGGATAAACAGTTTCCAGAATTATCAGACAACATTTGGGCTTCCGCGTTGGGATAGGCGAGCGTGTATGGTGGGCGGCATCCGTGGCAATGCTCTCAGGAAATGCTGCCACATGGCCTATTACTTCACAAGCCTCCTCTGAATAGTACTTATGAGAAGTGCCTCTAAATTCAGCTTAAGGCCTTCAAATGCACAGCAGATGCCGGTGAAACGGAGAACGGTAGTATCGGTGGCCCAAGAATACTGTGGCAAAAAAAATACATTCGTTGTCTCTTGCTGGCCTACACGGATCTTTTTACTTTTATTGTGCATTACCAAGTGAAAAATGGCAGCATAATACTGCTGCATTGCCTGTACTCGCAGCATGCAGTCCTCGTGCGCATGTGACTTCTTCAGCACTTCAGTTTCCCCCAGCAATCAAGTGAGTCTCCGAAGAATTGCAAGCAGCAGAGCCAAAGACTGCCTTGGTTCCGATAATTGCAAGAACACGAATCCAATGGAGAAGTTACATTACAGCCAAAAAGAGCGTTGGCAAATGTTACCTGTTACTGTCACACGTCGGGGACTAGGCCCATAACATATCTGCAGTGAACCGGGGGTATTCACCCCTACATGGGTCCTGCGCTGGGGGACTAGGGTACAACGTACTTGTGGCTAAGCATGCAGTGAAAGCGTGCACACTCAGCAAACACTCGCCCTGCTGCAGCCACACTTTATTCTCTGCCGGTATGCCTACTTAGACAGGAACTGCCGTTGCCAAGCTCGAATTACTTCTCTAACTTGCTGCCCTTCCGTTTGTCCCAGTGCCTGCATCACACAAACCACGCACAATATGTGCAACATTCACTAGTAGTTGAGCTGAAGGGGGTACTGCCATAGCTATTTCCACGCCGATGAAGAAGAACAGATTGACAAAAACGCTCAACTACAAGAGCTAAATTGACAAAGGCATACGTCTACAAGCGCAGCGGCAGCGCAAGCAGGATTTCCGACACGTGCAACTAGGGCGTCCTTCAGTGACTGCTGAATGCCGTTGCGTAGTGGGAAAAATATTGGCCTAAGCTGGGCTCCTGCCTCAGCTGCTGCTGCTGCTGCCACTGCTGTAGCCGTGCGCTGTGGAGTTCCTGGAGGAATTCCGTAGGCGAGAACACGCCATAGGCCTCCAATATCTGCTGCAAGCTGTTAATTCACCCGCAGTACATGACAGTTTCGCACGAATTTTTACTTAAAAGGGGCTCTGAGCAACTACGACGCTAGTGGGTTACTGCGCTGTGCACTCCGCGAACGGTCGTTGAAATTAGCAGACAATGCACGCCAGTTTGGAGTAATCAAAGACGAAACCAGCAGACGCACTGCCTACGCACCTCTGTAATGCGAAAAGCTGCTATAATTGTACACTAGGAGCTGAATGAAAAGAACTGAGTTAACTGAAGGAGGGGGGACCACAATGATCAGCAGGTGGGAGCGCGCACCTTGATGTATTGAGGGTCATCTGTCTTTAGCGACGCAAAGAGGTCCGCAACAACGGAAAAGAGGGAACACAAGGGAAGAATAAGAGCAAGCTGCTGCCCAGCACGCTGAAGGTCGATGCCTTGAACGCGCTGGTGCTGCTGTTGTCGCAGAAGCTGCACCTCCTCCAACTGCTGCGGGGCCTCCGCCGAAACTGCCTGCGTGCGGCGTTGGCGCAGCTGAGCATCAAGGGCAATATTCTGACAAGTAAAGTCCCGCATTGCTTCCTGTACTTGCCGCAGTTCCAGGGGAAGTCCGGCCAGTTTCTGAAGCAGTTGCTCGTGCTGAGCATCCACTAAGTTTTCCGGCCTGCAAATAAGTGCTGCAACGAGTTGTCCCCAAGCCTGCACCGCTGCTGCTGAAATTCCCGGGCAGTTCCCAGAGCAGCAGCACACCAACAGGAACAGCAAAATGCATCTCCATGCGGTGCTACATATTTCATCTGATGCAGGAGTCCCTTGAGGAGCTTTTGAAGTAACCGCAGAAGCCCCTCGTGAACGATGCAAAGATGCGAACAACAGCACGTGGAGCTGTTGCTGCTGCTGATGCAGCAACTGCAACAGTGCGTGTTTTGCGCCTGTTTCCCTGTTGCCGTTAGCGCTAACACGGTGGCCGATAGCCGTTGATACGCACTGCTCGATCGTGCTCAAGCTGATGGGGACGCCGCTGTTGTCCTTGCCCCTGCTGCTGGAAGGCAGCACCGATGCAGCAGCAAAACTCAGCAGCGCCACCGGTGCTTCTCTTGCCGCTGTGGCAAGAAGCAGCGCCAGTTGCTCCTGCACCCCTCGGCATTCCCGCTGGAGCTCGGCAGAATTAGGTTCCTGAGCAGCCGCAGCAACTGCCTTCAAGTATAAGCCCAAGTGTCTCTCCAAAATCCTGCACGAACAAGCACACACCCATCTGTCACACATGCCGCTCAGCAGTCGCTTGTCCATTCTATCTAAAAAAGGAGCGTGACTTAAAAAGAACTTGTAGAGCATGCCTTCTCGTCCGTCAGACTCGAAAAGGACTAACTGCCGATCTAACTCCTACACGAGCATTCGCAGCTCACAAGGGCAAGTGCTGCAGGAGCAGCGCGACCACTTCGGGGCCTTTCAGAGATACCAGAACTTGCATGCAAAATCCACTCAGATGCTCGGCCGCCACCTCCGGGGAGTGTTGCTGCTGCTGCAGGCTGTTGGCTGCTGCTGCCGCTGCTGCAGGGCTATCTGCCTCCACCAAGATGGCATCATACAGCAAAGGCACCACTGCACTAATGGGAGAGGCAGCAAGAGGGCCCAGTAACGACATCAGACGGCGCAATAAGAAGATACATGCAGGCAAGAAGGGCGGCAGCACCAACAAGCTCGCACCTTCTATCTCCAAGGGGCTGCCCTCAACCCCTGCAACCTGCAGGAACAACCAAAGTATACGATTTCTATTCTTTGCGCAATTCTCCACTTCTGGGTCAAAGTCTGCTTAGAACCAGTACAAATGTTAAGTTGAAATCGCAGTCAAACAGCCCCGACGTAGTCACAAAAGCCCGCAACAGTAGCGACGATGTAAAAATAACGGCGAGTTCGTAGATGTAGCTGCAGTTCTTTGTAGAATTCACATGACACCACCAAAAATCCGAAGCCTTCAACTGTAAATCCTAAACCGCTTTAGCCGCATATCTCAGCTTCTCACAAGTAGGGCATTGGTGAAAAGCTCCAGCGCCTGCACCCAAGATTTCTTGAGCTCCACCACGACTGAACCTTCGGCCGCTCCCTCAGGACTGGCTCCTCCAGCCGCGGCCGACATCTTGAAGGGCTGGAACCCCTTTGACAATGACGCCAACGCGTTGGCGCAACGAGCCCAGTAAACAGCAACCGCAGCTGCGGCCGACGGCGAGGCTTCTGCACTATAGGCCGCCTGAGATGCCAAACAACGCATGCCATAATGCTCTCAAGCAAAAATACCTGCTTTGGTGACACAGCAGACGCCGTGGCTGCCGTATTTAGAATGAATCAAACTCCAAGTCCCCAGCCATTAGCTTCTGCGCAGGCGACTGAGTTGCGTTGAGCCAATCAACAGCAAGTACGCAAGCTCCTCTACGAAGCTGCAGAATATTCATCCGCTGCTGCCCGTGCAACTCCATAGGGAATTATGCAAACTACGCCAGCGCTCACCATGTCCGTTGTGAAGGCTGCCGTTGCCTTGGAAAGCAACGCATGCAGCAGCAATACGCGCTCTTCCGAATTCGTCAATGCAGGGCCCTGCACCTGGCGACTAGCAGCTGCTTGCGGCTGTTGTTTGCTACCCAAAAGGACGCCTGCCGCTTCATACAACAGCAATTGTTGCTCTACCTGAAAAGCCCTGGGAACTACGTAAACATCTGCTGCAGCTGCCACAGCCAGCGGCTCTTGCCTGCTGCTGTTGTTGCAGCTGGGTGGAGTTGCTGGACGCAAGCGCTGTTGCGCAGCCGGGCTGGTGCTGCTATGGTTGCTGCTGCGAGGGACATCAAGGCATTGCTGTTGAAGCAAATGCTGCAGCAGCAGTCTCGTGTATGCAGCAGAATAGGGGAGGCAATTCTTCACAAAACGCAACAACGCCAGGCAAGCTTTAGGCGCAATGTTATTGTTGCTGCTGCAAACTCCGTGGGGTCCCGCCAAGAGAGAAAGAGCTTCAGGGATGTGTTGCTGATGCTTTCCAAAGAGTGGAGCAATGCGCACAAGAACCCTCATGAAATTCTCCGCTGATGCAGCCGAAGAAAATGCAGGAGACGCATGCATGTTCTGCAGCAGCTGAAGCAGCTTCAGTAGGCAGGCATGCAGCTGACTAGATGTATCCTTCAGCTTTTCCTGTAGATCTGAACACAAAGAGCCTCACACCACAGAAACAAAGGCAATACTGGGGTCAACGAGCCTTCGCGCGCACAGCACAAACAGCAATGAGGTGTAATTGCATAATATCGCACCGCCAATGTCGTCCGTCATAACGAGAATCATGTGAAGCAGTGACGAGAGTTGCTGCTGTTGTTCTCGGCGCTGTTGGGGCGTTTGCTGCTGCTGGAGCTGCTGGAGCTGCTGCTGCAGTCCCTCCTCAATCCACTGCAGCACGCGGCACGGATTTGCCGAGCAGGCCTTCCTATACAAAGCAGTGAGCGCCTGCGTCGCAAAATTTCCAAATTAAATCAAAGGCTCCAGAGTCGCAGCCTCGAGGCCTTTTCGCGCGGAAGCTGCCTCAGGCGAAAATTCGCATGCATTTGCTGCAGATGACACTGCATGCCTGAGCAGTGAGTCCCAAGAGCGGAAATATCACTGGACTGTTTACTAAGGACCTTGAGACAAACTACAAACGCAGAGCAATTGGGTTCGATGACTGGAAAGCCCATATCTTTGACTAGCGGCACATTACCCAGTCTCGCCCTATACTGTGAAATCACTCGCAGCAGATGCCCACAAAGTTTCAAAAGCCCCATTTACCTCCTTGTAGGCATACAGCTGCTCAACCTCATCGTCATCCAAACTGCTGTAGATGACCTGCTGCTGCTGCTCCTGCATCTGTTGCTGCTGCTGCACTGCTCCCATCAGCAAGTCGACCTCCGCAAGCTGCAGCCACACCCAATGCACATAAACGCTCCATAATGTATTGCCTAGTCACAGCATAAAGCAGGACAGCGGCACCACAAGCTGCAGAAGAAATCGACGCAAAGCGGACAACAAGCTGACCCTCTTGACAAGTACTTGCAGCAACTCCAACAAGAGATTTTCAAGGCGGGATGCCGGCGACGGCTGCAGCAGCAGAGTGCTCTGTCGCTGCAATATTGCTGCTTTAGAAAACAGCAAGGAAAGAGACGCAACAACAGTGCTGGAGACCTCAAGGCCACCAGACCCCAGCAGCTGGACGGATAGAGGCAGAACTGCCCACAAGGCAGTCACCCCCTGTGCAGAGCGAGCACAAGATATGAGGTGGAAGATAAAGTAACAAAGTCAAAGTAAAAAACAGGGCCTACAGGGCCCGCAGGCCTCAGTGACGCTACAGCCTGACTATAGCTAGCAGCACATTGCCTGTCGTTACTTAAGACTTGGCTACCGAGCAGCTGGGAGATAAACAGGACACGTCCCAAAGCTCAGTCTTCAATGCTCTACAAAGATATAAACACTTTTGAGGCACTGACCTGCTGCAGCAGCTGCCTCGGGTCCCGGCACGCAACCTGCGGGCTGCTGCTGCCTGTTGAAGAGCCCAAAAAGCCGCCTTCACCTGCTGCCTCTAGCCTCTCTGCCAGGGCTGCTGTCGACTCCGTCAGCGCTGCAACTGTTGCATTTACTACGGAGCCGAAAGAAAGAATCATTGTCGGGGATGCCGCAATTTCCGCGAGAGGGATGCGATGCAGAAGCCACTCCGCTAACTGAACAGGGGTCACAAGAAATTGTAGCAAACGATAAGTCTAAACGCCTGGCTCTTGAAGAGGAGAGATTGCTGCTGCTCTGCTCACCTCCATGCGGCACAAAAGATCAATCCTCGCAACAGGCTCCATTTTCCGGTGTATGAACACCACGATTGCAGAAGCGGCATCCGGAAAACCCGATGACAGCCATGCTGCCCCCAACAACTGCAGCAAAGTTGGGCTTCTGCTGCTGCTTCTGCTGTCGCTGTTCTGGCGTTGCGCCTCCGCTGCTGATTCTGTTGGAGGTGGCAGCAGCAAGTCAATCCACCCAACGTACCTCTCCGCCACTGAGCAGCACAGCTGCAGCAAACTGGCTAGTGCGGGGCTTTCCTTATATGTGAGTTGCAGCAGCTGCAGCAGCTGCAGCAGCAAAGGCGAGAACGGTGGAGGGCAGAGCACAGCAGCCGCATTTGTGGGGTTTTCCTCATCGTAAGGAAACGAGCTCTTAAGTGCTGCAGAAAGCTGCAGCAGACAACACAGGCGAGCAGCGCACAAAGGACTTCTGCCGACACGGCGGCGCCACTGCAGGCTAGCAGCCACAGCAGCACCAAAAGCAAACAGCAGCAGCAAATCCCAGAGCCCACTAAACTCCCCAAAACTAGCCTGCAGCCTACAGGAGAGGCTGGCAGGTCTTCAAGATACTCCTGGTGGACCACTAGCAGCACCCGCAGCGCCACCCGCAGCGACTCCAGTGTAGCCGCAAGGTTTTGGCCCGCCGGTGCAGCACAAGCCGGGTTTCTGCATGCGCAGCACTGGCCAGCTACTGCTGCCACTGATGGGTCTTCTAATTTGCGCAAGTGCAAACAAAGGGCAGTCAGTTCTTGGTGCAGCAGCTGCCGCAGCGGGAGAAACGCAGCCTTCGTTCTAGCAGCAGCAGCAGCAGCAGCACCCGCTGCTGCTGGTGCCGGTTCTGCTGCTGCTGCTGCTTCAGCCATGTCGTTGACCTGAGCAGCCAGTAACCGAGCTACTAGGAGGGCCAGCTTGTTGTGCACTGCAGCAGCATCGGGGCTGGAAGCTGGGTCGGAGGCAGCAGCAGCAAGTTGTGCGGCGGTGCTGTCGGTCTCTGGGCCGCTGCTGCTGCTGCTGCTGCTGCAGGCCCAGGCAGATGCGCTGCATACTCTCAGTCGCATCACATTGAGCAGCACTTCAGCCATCTGTTGTCTCTGATGCTGCTGCTGTGGCAGCAGCTGCAGAAGCTGCTGCAGGGCGAAGAACTTCGCCTCAAAAGAACAGCGGGACTGCAACGCGGACAGCAGCAGCGTGGTGCCGCTGCTGCTGTCGCACACCGCTGCAGCACAAAGCACCCCGGGCAGAAAACAGCTTGCCATGCAGCACACATATGAGGCAATTATGGCAACAGGTGTTGCTGCTGCTGCTGTTGCTGCATACAGTCCTGCTGCTCCTGCAGCAGCAACAGCAACACTTCCCAGCCCCCACAAGCCCACGGGCAGGAGCTGCAGATCAAGATGTCGCGCTGCTAGTCAGTTCTACCCAAAGCAAAAAGACCCATTTGCTGCAGCTGCAGGGGGAAGGGGAGAAAGCAGGCAAAGAAGCAAAGAGGCAGCAAAGCAAAGGCAGCAGAGTCTAAAGAATTCAAAAAGAATTACCGCGCAAGTACTGCTCGGCCTCGCACCGAGTCGCGGGGTTGACAGCTGCACTGCCCTGGGAGAAGAGGGCGCTGACAGCCCTGTCAAAGTCCTCTACCTGCATTTTGGTGGGTTGTGGATTTATTTTGCTGCTGCTGCTGTTGCTGCTGCTGCTGCTCTCCAGTTCGCTTGCTGTAGTTGGTGACCTTCATCAGGACGTGGCGCGCAATCCCTCGAGACCAACTGCAGCGGTTCGCTTCCTAGCACCTGCACCGCATCGGAGTGTCTGTACACCTGGGCAACAGCAACAGCCGAAGCCCCAGCAACCCAACTGCCGCCGCTGCAAGCCTGAGCCACTTAAACGTCTTGCTGCTGCCTTGCTGCTGCTCTTCTACTGCCGCTGCTCCCTCGCGACAAGCAGGACGCCAGGATGCGGGCCGGGCATGCCAGTGCTGCTAATACGGAAACATCTGCACGCGAAGTGGACAAGTCCAACAGAGCGACGGATGAAGGCCTTCTACTGACTCAAGGGCTCCAGCTGCCAAACTGAGGCACTACCGGGCCGGTCAGTGACGGTGCTCCTTCTGGGGGCTGCTACTCCATTCAAGAAAGAAAGGGCACTGCAGTTTCGCCCACGCAGGCAAGGCGTGGAACACGTAGTAGCCCTGATTTTTGCTGCTGCTGCTGCTGCCTAAATGCTGCGGTTGTAACCGAAAAGTACGTTGCAACGATAGCCAGTAGGAGGGGCCCTTTCACATAGGCATGCTGATCGTGATCTGCTGCTGCTGCCGATTCTGCTGTCGGTGCAGCGCCTTCCAGTCTTGCCGTGAGGCCACCGTTGCCCTGCTGCTGCTCTTCACCTTGCATAAATTTCCTGAAGTTATCCCTTTATTTAGACATGCAGCTTCTGCAGTTTCTTAGAGGTGTGGGGACCTGATGCATGCAGTGACGTGGGACACAGGCGCTGCCAGCAGTAGCAGCCCCAGAGGAAACTCTAGCTTTTGGCAGTTTGTGCATGCTCATTTAATATTTTTTAATTCTTTTCATGGTAGTGTTGCAAGGAGAATGGCGAGCTGAATATTGGTGGAGACAGGAGGTGTTTGCTGCTGCATCTCGCCTGACAGTGCCTGTGACTGCTCTTGCACGCCCCGGTGTCTTCACAGACTTCTCGCCCTCTCGAAAACTCCTATATCTTGAGTGATAGCGTAGATTCGATTTGTGCTGCATTTCAAGCAGAAATGAAGGCTGGCAGAAGAGGGAAAGGCTTTGGTGAAACGTTCATGCCCGTCGTGATGCAGTTTAATCCTCTCTGTCCTTTCTATGTAACTTTTGCAAGCATTGACCAGCTTTGCACATTGAATTTCGTCTGTTTACTGTAAAGCATAAGTTTCTTGTATTAAGATTAAGGTTTACAAGACGAAGAGCCTTGCAGGCTCAAATTCGGCGCGCTCAGCAAGCCTTTGGCTGTGCCTGAAGTAACCGCCAATTGATTGTGCTTTCACTGTAATTACAGTACTGCAGTATTGACATTTAGGCCTGTGGAATACTGCAGTCAAGCCTGCAATGGCCTAATGTGCAAGGCGCTATTGTCTTTGCAGAATGCTTGTGAGAACGGGCTAGTGAGGGGTCATCCGAGTTATTTTCAATAAGTGCATTGAAAAAGTGTCACTTTTATCTCAGAGACATCGTTTCGTGAAGAATAGTTCTGAAACGAGGGACTCAAAAGGCAGGAACTGCCAAAGTATGGCACTGGCTGTTCGACGCTGCAGCTGTGAACACGCGTGGACTGTATGAGCGTGCCTCTGAATGTACAATAGCGCGGCCCTTCTCACTTCTCAGTACTGTGAAAGTGAATAGACGGAAAAGTATGTCGTTTTGAAACGCAAGAAGACTCGTCGGGTGTGTCTTATTTTGAGCGTGTCAAGCCTTCTGGTGGCTGACGGCTGTTCTTTGGGCATTTCATCTTTAATCCTAGAGGCCTTTCGCATTTTCAAATACCTGCAAATGAATCTTCTCCTTAACAGTACGCTAAGCTTGATAGCTGGCTGTCGGCGAGAGCTGCGTGTAGCGCTCAGAAGCCAATACAGCATTCGCCGTGGCCAAAACTCAGCTATCCGTGAGAGTATTGGAAGGGCTCTATCTCTATTAAGGGCCCCTCCGCAGCTATGACAGTTGGAAATTGTAAGCAAAGGGTCTCAGCACCCTAGCTCAGCTACGTGGGAAAGTGGCTAATGATTGCACTCCTGAGAGCCGCCGTTGGGTGTGTTTGTGTCGGGCATGCGTTCAAAGTAAGTGAATTGGTGCGCGCGTTTAGTGCGTTTAATTCTTAATTTAATGTAACCCGTTTAATTCTTAATTTACTGTTACCAAGTTTTGCATGCAAGCGTTCCCCCCCGTCTGGAAAACTCTTCCACGCGCGCACTTTATATTGAGTCAACTATCGCCACTGCCTTACTCATTTTCGTGCCACGAATCAAATGCTATTCAGTTGGATTTTGTTCAGTTGCTGCTGGCTTTCCGCGCTAGTTACCCGAGTCTTCCTCTCGCATTGTGAGGCCGCTGTTACACTACAGAATGAGCTAACTATCAGGTCGAAACTACGGGGGCGAATAATTGCAGAACGGCTCAGCAAGCAATTCCCAAAACTGTCAGAGCTTCATTCCATTGCAAGCTTGCCGGGTAAACGTCATCACAAGCTGCAGTGTGGGCCAGAAAGAATACCGGCATTGGTTTTCTAAACATAGTCACATCCGCGTTTAGAAGCGACACTTGTTGGAGCCGCGGAATGCAGATACAGGTGCACTCCGACTAAAATCTCAGAAGCAGAAACTTTTAGATGCTTGTTGGTTATATATAGCTCTTTTTGTATAGGCGGTGCTTTTGATGCGAAAAGTAAAGAGCGCCCCCATCTTAAACTCCACTCAGTATCCAACATGGGTGCCTCGCACTTTCCTTGCTTGTTCCAGCCCCCATTACACTAATGTAGAAGTAGAATAATTAATTTATCATTATTGGAGGACGATATGACTCACATTTAGACATCATTTTCACTTGTTGCATTGGAACTGAATCATACACCACATCTGGCAGCCCCCTCTGTGCCTGAGCTTTGGAATTTCTTCCGGGTGGACTGGAACGTTCGCCTACGTAAGCAGTACATTTTATTTATTTTCTAATGGTGTTTTAGCGAGAATATTGCGCTAGTTGGGGGAATAAAAAACCCACGAGCAGTTCCGGGGTACCTGCAGCCGCCTGCATGCGCCGGACAGCGTCGGCTGCAGACCGCATGTTCTGCTGCATGGGTCTGCCGTTGTTGCGTCACGATTTCGGACTAAGTGGCTCTGTTAAATCTCACTTAGTCGCCAAGAGGAGGCAGACGTTACGCGGAGTGCCGCGCTTGACGCCGCCGAGTCTTCCAGTCTCGGAATGAAAGTCTGAACGCAACGTTTCCGTCCGGAAACTGGGCCCTGTCCAGCTGATAACTCTTATGTTGTGGTTTTAAGAATCGCAGCAGATCTGGGTGGGGTGTTGCTGAGTCTTCTCAGGGCTCACCTGGCTCCTCCTACAGGGGGCAAGCAGGAGCAGGAAAGATACGGAACTTCGCAGAGTTCGGCTTGTAGCCGCCTTTCGGGGGTTTTCGCCTTCTTTAACTCATTCTAAAATGTTCACAGAACTCAAGAAGTTCGGGATTTCCCTCTGGGACGAGATCCGGCACTTGTGCCGTCGCCCGCGGGAGGTCCTGCTGACGGTGCTCAGCCTGTGCTGCGTAATTCTCGCAGGTGATTGTTTTCCACGCATCGAATTGTTCAAACTTAGAGTTTTAAATGCAAAAAGGGGGCAGAAAAAGCGCAGCAAGGCCCACCAGCCCGCTAATTCTCCGCAAACTTGCTGCTGCCTGCCTCTGCTGCCACTGCTGCAGCACTCATGCTTTGGAAAGTCTTAGTGATCGCCGCCGGGAGCCCCTCCCCCGTAGTGGTAGTGCTGAGCGGCTCAATGCTTCCCGCCTTCAGCCGGGGCGATATTCTCTTTTTGCACGACAAGGGGCCGACCACCAACGTGGGGGACATTGTGGTTTTCAAGGCAAGTCGAAGCCCCCAAAGTGCTGCAGCTGCTGCTGCAGCTGCGTTGCTGGGCTGGGGCTTGCCACGGCATTCTTCGTGGAGTTTCACTTTCACTTTGCAGCTTTGCTGTGGCTCGGTTTGCAACTTTGCTGCTCCTGAATGTTCAACTTTGCTTCTGCTGAATCCAACTTTGCTGCTGCTGAATGTTCAACTTTGCTGCTGCTGAATGTTCAACTTTGCTGCTGCTGAGTCTTCAACTTTGCTGCTGCTGACTGTTCAACTTTGCTGCTGCTGAATCCAACTTTGCTGCTGCTGAATCCAACTTTGCTGCTGCTGAATGTTCAGCTTTGCTGCTGCTGAATGTTCAACTTTGGTGCTGCTGAATCCAACTTTGCTGCTGCTGAATCTTCAACTTTGCTGCTGCCGAATCCAACTTTGCTGCTGCTGACTGTTCAACTTTGCTGCTGCTGAGTCCAACTTTGCTGCTGCCGAATCCAACTTTGCTGCTGCTGAATCTTCAACTTTGCTGCTGCTGAATCTTCAACTTTGCTGCTGCTGAGTCCAACTTTGCTGCTGCTGAATGTTCAACTTTGCTGCTGCTGAATCTTCAACTTTGCTGCTGCTGAATCCAACTTTGCTGCTGCTGAATCCAACTTTGCTGCTGCTGAGTCCAACTTTGCTGCTGCTGACTGTTCAACTTTGCTGCTGCCGAATCCAACTTTGCTGCTGCTGAATCTTCAACTTTGCTGCTGCTGAGTCCAACTTTGCTGCTGCTGAATCTTCAACTTTGCTGCTGCTGAGTCCAACTTTGCTGCTGCCGAATCCAAACTTTGCTGCTGCTGAATGTTCAACTTTGCTGCTGCTGAGTCCAACTTTGCTGCTGCTGAATCTTCAACTTTGCTGCTGCTGAGTCCAACTTTGCTGCTGCCGAATCCAAACTTTGCTGCTGCTGAATCTTCAACTTTGCTGCTGCTGAGTCCAACTTTGCTGCTGCCGAATCCAACTTTGCTGCTGCTGAATGTTCAACTTTGCTGCTGCTGACTGTTCAACTTTGCTGCTGCCGAATCCAACTTTGCTGCTGCTGAATCCAACTTTGCTGCTGCTGAATCTTCAACTTTGCTGCTGCTGACTGTTCAACTTTGCTGCTGCCGAGTCCAACTTTGCTGCTGCTGAATCTTCAACTTTGCTGCTGCTGAGTCCAAGTTTGCTGCTGCTGAATCTTCAACTTTGCTGCTGCTGAATCTTCAACTTTGCTGCTGCTGAATCTTCAACTTTGCTGCTGCTGAATGTTCAACTTTGCTGCTGCTGAGTCCAAGTTTGCTGCTGCTGAATCTTCAACTTTGCTGCTGCTGAATCTTCAACTTTGCTGCTGCTGA